ACAACGTCGTTGCCAAGCGACGAAAACCCAACCCATTCACCTGCGGGGGAAGAACAAAACGATGCGCAAAGATTCAGGACCGCAGAGTCAGCGCAGCGGCCTGTAGTTGCGTGAACTCGCACAGGTATACAGGCGTTGTGGCGGGTGGAGCTGTGGCCATGATTGTTCCAGGTTTGGTATTTCCAACAGCAATGCTCTCTTTCCTTCTCAGCGGAAGGGCTGCGGTTCGAGCATACTCGTGAGGTTCCTCTCGAGCAGAAACACGACCTAGATCTACGCCAATGCTCTCCTTTCTTCTCACCGGAAGGGCTGCGGTTCGAGCGTACTCGTGAGGTTCCTGTCGAGGAGAAACACGGCCCAAATCTTCGCCAGTCTCAACAGAAACAGGGAAACCGCTTGGGTGATAACCTCATTCAGTCCTTTTCTTCTACATCGCTTTCCTGTAGGATAGTTTGTGAGTGTGGTACGCATCATGTCCAGGTATGACCGCACGAAAATCTGCGACCCGCTGCGCACCGTGTACATCGCAAAAAGCCACAGAGCAATCCTGCCCTCCTCGACTATCCATGCTCTCATCTATCCATGTGGCCCTGTGCAAATGTTTCGAGATGCTAGATCTACAGAAACACCCGCCTTTATCAATCTCGCGAAACGGCCGCTTTTCAGGAGAGCTTACGCCAAGATTAGAGTTGATGATTGTGGTCTCACCCGGCTAGCGTAAGCCTCGGCCACTTTTCCCATGAAGGCGAAGACAGCGGGGGCGATGTTAAGCGCGCCAGCTACCGTGCTGACCCCGTCGTCATGAAAGTGATTATCTGCGCGCCAAGAGGGCAGCAACGAGTTTGGGAAAAGATAATCGAATGGAAGATGCCATGGCGTAGTCTCGGCTCCTCAAAAACAAACAAAGGCCGACATGATGACCCAGCGCGAAGTTTGGAACGGTTGGTTATCATCGACGCCAGCGAAGACCACTCTGGAAGATGACCCTTGTCGTGCTGCATGTAGTATGGAGCTGCATATTCTCGGTAAACCAACTTGCGCGTGAGCGAAATTTTTCGTAGAACATCGACTCGAGGGAAATTAATGCTGAGATTCTCGTGCAAAAGGGTGGAGGCATGGGCAGCCAACCGACCCCCATCTTCTGCGTTTAACGGGACTGGTACTGGTAAGACTGACAAGTACGTTAAAGGCGACGCCTCTGACGATTCCGGGTGGACGGGACAGGAGGGGAACAAGTAAATGCTGCTGGTAGTTGTTTCGTACGATATGAAACAACAGCAAACCGCAATGACGACAAGCCGCAACAGCAGCAGCGGCACGAGGTTAGGTTTGCCTTTCCCTTGCCATCGACCCCCCACCAGCTGCGGCAGGTCCTCGACGAACGAGTTTATCAGGGACCAGTAACGAAACACGCCCGAGGAAGCGTTGTTGCAGGCGTAGACGCGGAGCCAGCCCAGCCCATCGGTGGCGAGAAGAAGCCAGGTGAGGGTCCCTAGCACGGTGAATGTGAGGGCGACCGTGTCTAGGCCCGCGTACTTGCTGGTCTCAAAATCCGAGGTCGTCCAGAAATACCTGCAGCAGCGGCGCGGTAGTTTGGAGAACCGGGGGCTTATGGACGCAGTTAGCTGGAAATGGAGACCAAGCGTGGGAAATATGAGGGGGCCTTGCCACCTCGCCAAGAACGACATTCAAAGGGAGAAATGCCTAGAAGAAAATTGTGAAAACCTCGAATACACCGAGGGCTTGGGTGACCGTCACGCGTGAGGTGCGCACGATGGCTCGATGCCTAACGAAGAGTCAGCAAAAGATGGAATAAAACTAGGATTTTGGACGATGATGTTCTCATATAAAACACGATAGGCTCGTTATCCTGTGCAATACCTCCAACAAGCTTACCAGTCTGCCGACAAGTCTATGTCGGCGACAATGCTGGACAACGCCAAAGGAGGAGAGAAAGTGCGCTTGATGAGGCATCTCTTCAACCCCTTGCTTGTCCAGCCACCTTGCCGCTCCTGAATTTTTCTTTCGAATCGCTGAACAAGATAGTGCGGGGGGGGTGTACTCATAGTCGTGCATGCCGTAGTCGTCAGACCATTGACCTCGCATCCCTACAAAGCCGGGA